GATTCCGAAATGCGCTCTTTGATTTGGCATACATGTTATCGACGACTTAATTTGCTACAAAGATATTAAATATGGAAAGAAAGATAAATTCAAAATATGTACATAATCAGGGCTTTCCCCCATCCAAAATACGCATGGAAATGCTTCGTTATTTTACAGTTCCACAGAGAGCCGATCAAACATTGAGAGACTCAGAGAGAGATAGAGAGTTAGAGAGATTGGGAGAATGACAGTAAAGTATGTTGCTTTTGTGGCTAAACAAGTTTTCTGTTTGTGTTTCGCTCAAGAGACGGAAGAAAAGCTACATCTAGTGAACTTGATTTAGTAGTATATACACCGTGTTCATATTCGCAACGTCGCGTCTGCGCGCTTGTTTCTTGTCCGCTGAAACGCAGATTGAGAAAGTTTTTTCAAGCACAGATTGTCTATAATTTCGTATTCGAAACATACACATGAGATTTTGTAAGAATGTGTACTCAATATATATGTGAACTAAATATTTATAAATATGCATAGAAATTTAAACAAATATCATATATAAGTGACATTCACACGTTAATACAAAATACAATAAATACAAAACAAAACAAAGGGCGCATGGAAGCCGTTTTATATTTCCGTTTCTATTATTCAATTGTTGCCTCTGTATATATTCGTCCGATACGTATGTGAACATCTGACGTCATCGTTATATTGATTTATAGAATACGTTTTAAGCTCTGCATAGGCCTTACATAACACACCTGCCATTTTCAAAGACTGAAATTTCGACAGAGCTTGTTTTAAATATCTTCACGAAATTCAGCGTGTCTGCGGCTCTCTCTACCTATCTCCTTCACTCTCCCTTACGCCTTCGCTTAACTCATTGGATGTGCCCAGCGATTGCACCATGCACCCGTATATGAGCAAAAGAGAAATCAGGCTCAGCTCTTACTGCTTTAGCTTTGCCCAGGTGCTCACACCACAGCGCGCATCAGGCTGCATGGTCAACAGTATTTTGAACTAATCTGATGAACTATCCATACCCGACTAGGCATTGATCTTTGTAGTCTCAACTTTAAGTGAGTCATTGGGGTTTGGCCTAAACTATAAGCTAAGATAGCTGACTCTCTGTTCGAATAGCAACAAATTAGTTTAAAAAAAAAACTCCCACAAAAACAAAATCAGCAATATGTTTGCAGGTGCCTAAGAAACCAGTATTAAATACCCTGAATTGGATTCATTTTACTCTTAAGCTTACAAAGTGATAGCAATAATAATAGTGACTAATATTTCCGATATCAACAAGTTTGTTTTCTTCGTGATTTCGCCAACAGGCTGACCGCCTTGGCGGTGTTCAACGCAATGGATTATCAAGATGAGCGACATTTCAGCTGCAAGCCTAGAATGTCGGGGGCCTCATCTAACAGGATCGTCAATTTCTTCGTTTTGGTATTTATATTTACCATCGATCTAACACTCGTTTCTGACGGTAAGTTCAATAAGCTTTACAAGTATTTATAAGCATTTAAAACTTAACAAAGAGATCATAAAGATATTGATTTGAGACACTTTTAACTCAAGAAGTCCAAATCTAAATGGGGGAAGTAATTTAAATGATTTATTATGACAACTGTTTGTGCCAATGACCGATCATTATAGAAGCAATGTACTGACAACGCGGCCGCTGACGTATCTCACAAGAGTTCAATAGCTGACTAAGAAACCTCAGCTGGGGACGACCAATAACGAGAAATTGTCACGGTCAAGGTAAAATATGTCACTTCCAATACGCAGTTAAGGCAATTTCGCTGAAAAGCACCGTGCAGTGTGGGCTGTAAGATAATAATCGCTCACGGTTTGGATAAAGTAGCAAAAAGCTTAACTTCATATTACGAAAATGCCCAATGGATAATGAGCTCGACTTCTCACAAGACTGATTATCACTGTAAATAAATAAATAGATTATAAATATACATATACCTTATGACACTGTGATTCGAGTTCATAAATAAAATGGTAGCTTGTTTTGAAGTAGATATCTATCAAAATAGTTTAATTCTTTATTTTATTAAGATAAACAAGTAAGAAAGCTCTAGTCGAGACTGCTCGACTACGAGATCCCCTGAAC